GAATTTTCTTGTTACAATAAAGAAATGATTAAAGTAATATATATTAACATTTTAATTTTTTTTTCGTAAGATAATTAACACTAGAACTACCAACAATTAACATATTTTAAAAGATAAAGAGGGAAAATATATATAAAGAAATTTAATTATACATATTGTAATAAAAATTATGGTAAATCTGAGAAAATATAGTACTATAAGTTTAACAAAAAATTACGATCAATTATTCAGAGTATTTTGATAGTTCTAATGTTAATTTTTTTTATAATAAATTATAATTGATTTCAATAAAACTCAGCATACTTCAGCAAACGTCGCACCATCCGCTCTGACGAATACATAAACGGCAAAAGCGGGTATGCAAATTAAAGAGAGAGATGCGATGCCCCATCCGATCGCTTCTGCCCACCATGGATATGTGTAATCACCGTTATGGTAGGTCGGCGGCTCATAATCAATTAAACTGAACACCCATACAGCCTAAGAAGATAAGATAATTATAATAATACTGTAGTATAATAATACGTATATATCTTGAAAATTGCCGACTGCATGAAGATAAGTGCAAGGGAGTAGGATTGAAAGCGAGTAATTATGTATATAATTGTTATCATCAGATAAAAACAAGATATATCATGTTTTTCTGAGAATAATAGTTGCGCGAATGTGAATAATTGGCGTCTATGAATCCGTTTCTAAATCCGGAATGTCGTACTTTATTTGATTTGCAGTTAACATCTTTTAACCGTTACTCGGATAAATTATCAATACAAAATAAAAGTTTTAATATCCTAAAATTAATATTTTTGAATACCATTATAAGAAGAGGCGCAGCAAGGAACCAACAGAATCGGAAGTATTTCGAAGGTAAACGTCCAGTCATCTCCTTGACGTTATTGCACAGTCGCCGTACGCCGTAAAGCCACGAGATGGCAATTACTTCGAAGAACGCCAAGAACATGATAGACATCGATGCGGCGTAATGATCTATTAGTTGAAAAAAATAAATACCGCCCTGAGGCAGTCAGAAAATCATTTAGTAAGGGATAAGAGTGTTAGTTTTTATTATATTGTGTAAACATCCATTCGTTTTACCTGCGTAATATTTGGCAATCCAAATAAGAACGAAATGACGCATATGAGGAGGACCAGCACTTCGTGGCAGAGAAGATGACGCTTCACCCAATTCGGGAAACCGTCTTGGATTGACGTAACTACCACTTCAACAACGGCAAACTGAAATTCCGAAATTTATGTAATAAAGTATTGCAAAAGTCCAATTATACGATTTTCGAAATAGAAAAGTTATTAAAATACGATTGCATTTATTAAGTAATTGAGTAATGTGATTCTAGTATTTGTTTTTCGTTTCATGACTAACATTGTTTGTATCTCCATAGATAATTCGTACGACGATACAATTCGACATAATTGCGTTTACAGATTAATCTGTAATCGCGCATGTACACAGCATCGTGATAGGAAATAAGGCTTTATCTATCATTATTTGTCATATAAGCTTACTTGACTGTTTAACGAAAGGCAAACCAGCATAAAGAAAAATAGCACAGCCCAGAGTTGAGAAGCTGGCATCTTGGCTAGCGCTTGCGGATAGATGACGAAGACTAGACCAGGTCCTTGAACGGAAATTATGATTTATCTATAAAATGTCAGGAGGAGTTAATCTGACGATGTAAAATAAATGAGGAAAAAATTAAAAAAAAAAAGATGCAACAGTCTCGACATTGCAAATTCTACATCTTATACCCTTTCTCTCCATAACGCGCGACATACTTATATTGATACTTACATAATTTATCATATTTAGCGTGACGTAAACTTCATTTTTATACGTACCATCGGTTAGGACAGCATCGACAGACATGTTTTGCTCCAGCGCTATATTGCCGATTGTGGCGAACGAGAATATTCCAACTAGTAAACTACTGAAGGCGTTTATGAGTGAAACGGCAATGGTATCTACCAGAATTGTGTTGTGGAATCGGTTGTAACTCGCAAAACATATCATTGAGCCAAAAGCGATTCCTACAGAATTGAAGACTTGCGCCGCGGCGTTAATCCAGACCTAATCAATAAATATTGATAATAAATAATATAATTAATAACAATAATAACAATAAATATTAGATTGATATATGAATAATTCAAACTAATTATAGGAAAATGCCACTTTAATCTGAACTAAATCTTAACCTTTATAATGCTTAACCTTTAGAGGATGAGGATCTATTTTACAACTTTTTTCCTTGAATAAGATTTATTATAATTCATGATTTGATTATGTTCTTTGTCTCAAAATATAAATATACTGTTTCAGCGCCACTAATAGCTTTCCCATCCTATAAAAGTTAATAAAATTTCAATTTGAATTTATAAACATTCAGTTCATTTAAACTGAATATTTATTAACTTTAACTTTAACTAAAAATTTAAGATAAGATATTTTTTTTATCAAGAAGATTTTTTTTATCAAGAAGATATTTTTATAAAGAAGATACGATTTTAATTTGAAACTAATTTATTAAAACTAATGTATTTTTAAGCTTTAAACACAATAATAATGTATGTATATTTATACTTGTGTATGTCTTCACATACACATTTTCACAGTAATAGAATAATTTCTATTATTAATTACGGCTATTATTCTATTACTCATCATATTTCTCTTTCTTGTTAATCGAGAAATCGATATTACGATACCTTTGCATCGCCAAGCAATTCCCAGCGTGGATGGAAAAAGAATTGCAGACCTTTTGCGGCTCCCTCCAGAGTGAGGGATCGCGTGAGGAAGACCACGATTAAGAGAAAAGGCAGCGTTGCTGTCAGGTATCTCACTTGTGCTGATGACTTAATGGACTTCCAGATGGAAAAATATACCATGATCCATGCAGTTATCAAGCACGCCACGAGCTCCCATCTCAAAATCCCCGGCTCTTCGATGCCACTACTAATTTGCAGGACCTTGTTGCTAAATAGAAAGGCAATTATTCTTTCTTTAAACACTTCGAAGCTACAACACGCGATCGTTTTTACAAACTATCTTACACGCAATATAATAACCAGATATTAAAAATTTTTATTTAAAAAGTATACATGTAATATATATTATTCATATATTTATATAATTACAATAACAAATTGAATTAATTAGTCTAAATATTAAGAAAATTACTCGAAGAAGTCCTCAGATGGTGTTCTCGTCAGATTCGGCCGAGTTCGATTATCGATGGACCCATAACTAGGCAGCCAACAGCGCGGCGAATTCCATGAGTTGTCACAACGTGACCATGGTTGTTCCGATCGGAATGCCGAGAAGAAATAGTAGATTGCGTAGGCTATTATCACATTATGGTAGGTAGACATTAAAAATGATATTACAACTGACGATAAACCTGCTCCTATAAAAACAGAAATTAATAATTAATATAATATTGTAAATGATTACACGCAATTTAGACAATATATTCCGAGGAGGCTCAATATAAAATTACAGCTTTAAAGTGTCCAAATATCCGCAATAAAGAATAAAAATAAGTAAATATCATTAATATAATAATTAATTAGTAATTAAAAATAAATAATGATTATTAATATAGTTCGTAATATGCAAAACAATAAGTCAAAAACAAGGTTAACAACGAGATCTAATTTAGGGTGTCAATTAAAATATAATTGTAAAAAGTAATCTTTATTTACGAAGATGGTAACAATTAATCTTGAATATTTCAGTTACATTATAGTTCTTTATCAAAAAATCTTTATCTTTTATCTTCATTAAAATATTCGTAAAAATAAATAGATATTAAATTAAATTATTATGATAAATGTCATATTATTATGATAAGGCCGTATTCATAGTCAATTTTTATTTTAAGACTATCTTAAGTATATAATAAGATAAATAACAAGCTAATCATAAGGCCGTATTAATGTTTTGGTATATTACTTAAAAAGATCTTAAGTATATAGTATTAAGATTAAGTCAATCATAGAGTTGTATTAACATTTTAAGACATTACTTAAGACGGTCTTAATATAAGAATCAACTACAAATGTCATCTGTCAATAATTAAAAATAAAGATACCTAAATTAGAACGTGATAAGAGACCAACATCGAGATTAAAAGTGCGTAAACACATGGCGACACAAACATTATATGAAACAATCATAAATTACGAAAGTCAAAAGATAAAAGTAAAATGTATAAATGATCATCATATTTTTAAAACTAATGAATATAAAAATATAGAGTAGTCAGCCGGCGAAATAAAATGTAAAAAAAAAATCTGTTCATCGAACGGCGACGAGAACAGATTTAGTCTAGGTAATAAAATTGTAGTTGTTAAAAGAAAAAAAGAGACCAAGTCAATAATAAAAAAAAAGATCTATAAAGATAGAATGACGTTAAGAGGATAAAACGGTAATAATTTTAATCCTATTATATTCACACACACACACACACACACACACACACACACACACACACACTCAATTGTTCTTTTAGTTAAGCATGTCAACGTATTTTATGTCAACTGTTTTCCAGTCAACGTATTTTACGACGCTATAAAAATGAGCACGTGAGAAGTTTTTATCAAATAGTCGTTGGAGATTTAATCGGCAATCTGGCACATCGTGACTCTTATCCATTTACCTTTCAACAATGGACATACTTGACCCAGGGCTCCGATTGGGCCGCGACGAGTGAATTGTCCGATGCTGAGTTCCATGTACAGCAATGGTACTCCACATACTACGAGTATTAAAAAGTAAGGCACGAGGAACACACCTGAAACGATGCGATCGATATAAGTGAGATCCCTTCGGTGCTATACATTAAACATACACATGAAAAAAACGTTTTTGTTGAAATATCCAAAAATTTAGCTAGATACAGCTAGATATTTGAAAAATAATATTACTATTAAAATAATTATGTAGGAAACTCAAGCATAATGAATAATACTGCAAAAATTTTTGATGTTCTAACAACAAATTAAATTTTACCTAATTATTTTTAGATATACCAACAAAATTAATTTCAGATCTGTGTCCAGCTAAATTTTTAGATATTTCAGTAAAACCGTTCTGTATAACTGTAAAGAACAATGATGGCCTTCCTCTCTCTCTTTCTCTCTCTCTCTCTCTCTCTCTCTCTCTCTCTCTCTCTCTCTCTCTCTCAAAAAAAAGAAAAGATTAGTCGGGAGACACAGGTCTCGCCCAACGTTTTGCTAAACCAAGGTTCGCGCGTGTACGTAATAAGTGCCTCGACATTAATCATACTGTGGGTAGCGACAAGGTCACTGGATGTAACTCTTTATTCGCAATAAACGATGATCCGTAGCGGCGCTACGGATTACGACTTAATTTGACATCGAGCATTTAGCTGCCGCGAGAACGGGAGAGGTGACGATTAGTCAGCTGTTGGCAAGTTTCCTTCCATTGTCAAATGCTGATACAGCTTTCCGAGCGAACGAATCATATTGTCGCGCTTACAGCAACTATTATTATGATTTGATCTCATTCTGTTACACAGATTTTTTAATATTTGGGACATTTTGATCCATTTGTGTAAATGTACGATAGTCATGCATGTACGGTAATTTCTTTTACATTTCGCGGAAAGATGTAAATTTCCCAATCTCGACGGAATGCTATACACGTCACATAAATCATACGATGTTATCCGATCTGTTTTTCTCCGTCGCTTCAATCCGAGTCGAGCAGCGACACGAATGACAGTTTTCATTTAGTTCGCTGCAGACGATATAATATACGCGATCACACACTCCAAATAAATTATCGATATTAAACGAGAATGCCGGAGATAACAATCGGAGCCGATTTAATGTGACAATATCAATAATGATTACGAGCGATTTAATTTTTGGCGAAAATCCAATCGCGTCACATTACAAGACGGATAATGACGCACACTCACATTAATGTTGTTACAGTTATTTCACTACAGTATCATCTTTATTACGAAAATGCAATTTAGCATCGCAGTAACAATAACTATCGGAACGTGCATCTCGCGTGCGCAAGTAGAACTGCATTATTTCCCCTGATTTTCCGGTCTTCCGTTTAATATGTGATTTTGCAAAATTATGCACTGTATTTTTATATCAGTACTATGTGCTATTTGTATAACGAATTAACTTGCCCATGCAAAGGCTGTTGAAATTACAGAGTAATTTCCAGCTTATTATAAGCATGGAAATGTATTATACAAAAGTTACAATTAAATAAAAGCGTTTTATAATATTCTACAAATGGAAACTTTTATAAGATCCTACATTTTTTATTAATGATCTTTTAATTAATTAAATTATTTAAAAACAATAATAATAAATAAATGACACTTAATTAATTTAAAAATCTTTGTCCATTTCTTTTTCTGCCGTATCTAAATATTCTACGCAAAAAGAACAGTTTTGCTAAAGTATTTAAAAATTTAATTAAATACAGATCTGAAAATAATTTTGTTGGGTTATGAAAATAATTATATAAGACGCTCGAATTAATTGTTAAAATGTCAAAACTTTTTTGATGAGCGTTACTTGAATTTTTTATATAATTGTTAGTGAACAAAATTATTTTCGGATCTGTATCTAAATTTTTAGATATTTTAATAAAAAATTCCTTGTATATTTTTATTTATATCATAACGTTTGAAATATAAGTCTTGACTGAAGGCAGAATAAAAAGTTATAAGACAGTTAAATATGTCAAAATTATGTCTAGATATCAGAGTATGCGATCATATGTATGACACACGATGTGCTTGTCTGATAAAAGTGAGAGATCTCTAATCCACTTTGATCTCCTCAATCTTCGCGTAAATTTAGATCGACGTCGTCCGAGCGAAACAATAAATCATTCCAATCGTCTAAATCGGATCGCGTTATCCGAGCCAGTTTTCCGGCTCTTCAATTTAGACCGGCAGAGCACGTAGCACCGAGATGATACTCGGCCGATTATTTCTACACCGGTGTCATTGAAATCATTTACCGCGCCCGGCGGCGTAAGCTGTGTTCCGGCAAGGTCATGTATCAAGTTCCGCGAGCGAATTGCGCCATGCATCCGGGCTCCGGATGCTTCCAGACTTTGAAAATTACCGGCAACACGATACGCGATCACGTTGCCGGGATTGCGAGAGAGCTCGCTGTGTTGCCCTGAATCTAAAGCTCGGCTTACGCAAGACATCGCGATTTTCCACATAGGAGCCGGCTCAATTTGTTCCTTCCGCGACGGGGATGTAATTTTTTCTTCATACTACACGCGCGCGATTTTTATTCGATAATAATACTCTTCTCGCGTCTACGAGAAGAGTATCATTTGCTGGTTCAATACGTGCAATAATTTATCGTTTACGATTCGCCATGTTTTCATGTCATGTTATTCCCGTGATAAAACATTGGAAGAATAGAAAGAAATACTTGAAGAATGTTTTTAAAGAGAAAAGATGTTTTAAATGAAAAGACATTGCATAGCGTTTCAAAGTTACTTAAATAAGCTGCTTCAAGCTTGTAAAAATTAGAGGTAATATCACGGATTCTGATTGCTCCGTCAGCTGTTTCGACACTGACGTATTTCGCAACGTGCAAAATAATCGCGTGCTCTTATCGTGGCAATGCTAATCGAGGCGAACACGTAGTGATATGTCTGCTTATTTGACATCTGCTTTTTTTTGATCTTGTAACTGCAAGCAATATCTGCGTGAACTCTTTTCTTCCCCCCCCCCTCTCTCTCTCTCGCTCTTTTATGTATCTTGTAAGACTTCTTTCACACTTCGTAAAACTGGATATTCTCGTCACGATTATGCGTAATTTACGTAATAGATTCATGCATTTATCGTGAGACTCACCGCCGCCACTTTTGTAGCACAAGTAAGGAAATCTCCAGACGTTACCGAGACCGACGGAATAGCCTATACAAGCGAGAACGAATTCCATTTTATTCGCCCAATGAAGCCTCCTGGGTTGCCGATAATCGCCGGGATCCGCGTCCAGATCGTCATAGCTGGTCCACGTAGAAACGTCATCCTCGAAACTGCAAAAATGCAACGCACGACGTCAAGCTTTTATATTGCAAATGTAGCCGGTGCTCGAACGAAAGACATCTACAGCGTGGAATGCGAAAGAAAAATTGAGAGAGCTCCGAGAAAAATGTTACGAGTTATGACAGTTTAATGGAAAAACAGCAATAAACGTTTTATTAAATATTTCAGGTGAATAATATAATTTAATCTTCGCATCGTGAAGTGGGAGGATACACTTGCGGACAGTACGTCTCTATAAATTCCCTCGAAACAATAGATCAGCGAAGGATCATTACTATCGTGACGACTCTTTCAAGAACCTAATGATTTCGCGCCTCGTATTATGCACTTATGGAAACTGTGCTTAATGCATTGTAAAAATTTATTTGACGGTAAATCACACAAAGGCACATCACGTGTCAGCCGTGCTTTACGGGTTCATTTGCATGGCGCGCATAAAGTCCAATGGCAACCATTAAATATTCATCGTCATTGTTTATATAACGGTCGATTTCGAGCGTCATAACGTGACGTACCGATTAGTAACGATAACAGTTCATGTATTACGTGAAATATCGTAGGTTTATACCTACGATCACCAATTATACCTCGCCGATTCCGTTCGTGTTTGCGTTCACGGTGAAGGGCGCACGCAAACGAATGAGAACCAATACCGGAAAGAATCCAGTCGGCGTTACCGTGATAAAAGCGTCGCGTGAAAAAGTATGGAACATAAAAACCGACTTTTGCGCGGTGCATTATGTAAGCGTCGGGATCGAGGAATTTTTATGCATTTATCGCGTAAATTCGTACTTTACGGTGCGGTGAGCGTAGAAATGATGTCAGGTCGCCATGGGCGGCGGAGGGGCCAGGAAAGGGCGGTCGACAATGCTGAAAGATATACGCGACGCACCTGTGTACATTCCCGTTCGTTTCGCAACAGAAAACTAATATACCACGCTGCGGAAGCATCGCGGATACGATAATGCGCCTCGTATATGGTGTGTCAGTACCTTCTTTTTTTAAAAAAAGATATACGTATATGTCAACGTAAATATGACAGTAACGAAGAGTGTCAGATGACACCGATCGACAGAATTTTCGCACTTGAGAACAAACTAATTTGAAATAAATTACTGTATATTACGATTTTAAAAGTGGTATTAATAGACGTAATTGTATCGCATATTATTTGAGGACTTTGAGAAAAATGTTTCCGGTTTCTCTCTATTTTATACGTTGTAAAAAAATTTCATGTAATAACAATTATAATGAATAATTTAGATAACCTACTATTAAAGATTTTTATACACACGCGTAAGTGAAATTGCAAATTTACAAATTCTTTTCTAGTAAGTAAATATTTGCAAAAGTAAATTAATAATTGATAAAAAGTAAATTTACAAATATTATGGCTCTTGACCAATCGCCACGATCATGTCAAACGTCGTTAAATTATTTAAGAAATGAAGTTTCTTGCATGCCATTTATAAAATTTGGACGAAACAATGAGATCGCTTTAAAACATTTATAAAAATAGTTATTCTTACCTCCCCCCCTTCCCCTCTCAACAGTCAGTAAATAGTCATAAAAAGAATATGAAGTGAAAATAGGTTGAACCCTACTTTATATGCCTTTTACGATTATTTACTGATTATCAAGGGAGTACACTATAAAGTGGAGTAAGGATAGTTTTGACCTATTTTTACAAATGTTTTAAAGCGATCTCAAATTTAACTAAATACAAATCCAAAAAAGTTTTGTTAAACTCTTAAAATTAGATATTATTTAAGCTGATTGTTACAATAACTATAAATTTTCTGGTATTATTCTCTGGTATTTTCTGGTATTACTATGCTTGAGTGTTTTATTTTGGTAGTTCAAGAAAATTATTTTCAATTCTATAACTCCAATTAAATTTTAAATATTTCATCAAAATCGTTCTCTCTATGCAGAGCGTTTCGTTCTTTATTCGCGTTAACGAATCTCATGAAGACGAGTATCGTTTTCACACACGGGAAACCCGTGTGTGCGCTGCTTCAAAAACGAGATGTGACAAGATCTAAATGTAGGACGACGATTACGGATCGTTTCAAGCGCTGTCCCGTTTCAATGGAAGAAGCAGGACAGAATCGCAACAATATGTCACACCGCACAAGCACACCTACTTACAACAACCGGTGGGGTCTTACATTGTACACCTATTATCCACTTACGTCTTCGGGACGATACGCCGGAATTGCAGACCCTGGATGACGAGATCTGACGGCTTCGCGTCGAGCTTAGACGCGTAGCGCATCTCTCGTCACGTACGTAGGATCCGCCGCAACCCGATGATAGACGAGGCCCTAATCAGAGCAATCGAAACCAGTCTAACTAGACCGGTCTAATTAATAAATGAATTCAATTTTCGATGACGATGGATTCGTATCTCGCAAATGGAGACCGTTTTCGTACGTGTATAGCACACTGACATTTGAACTCACCGAAATTATATCGGAAATTATACCGGTTTCGATCTCCCGACTCTAATTTGCGGACATGGGATGAATCTGATGCAGCAGCTTCCGTGCTTTACAGATAACGACAAACGTTGATTAGAGCTATCCGTGATAAATTGAGAGCCAATTTTATTGACGCTATCGATTAACTAACTTGACCCTTGCTCCTTTCCGAATTATAGTCCTGATTGCAATGTAGGTATGCAGTGTGAAAATCAACAGCAATTAATATTAGTTGATAGCACGATCGCGCCTAAATTGCACTTAAGGCGACCTGTATGGAAAATTAGGTGTTCTAGAGTCAATTTTAGTAGCGAAAACTTAAAAAGAGGATAAACGTAATATATTTCAATCTATTATTATTTATTTACTATATCTATTATTGTTATGTAATCTATTATTACATAATTATTTCAATTTGACATATATTTTAATCCTTTTACATTAAAATTTATTTTATTTATCTTCTACCTCACATTTTCTATTCTTAAAAGCTTTAAAACTATAATTTAGAAAGGAACGGTAAATTTAGTTAACCATTAATAATTGATGCGATTAACCTTGAATAGTGTAAAGAAATTGTGCTGCATCAACGCGACAAAACGAAGAAGAAACAACTTGCGGTACAATTCACACGCATTAGGTAAACAATTCCGGAACGTTTTACGTATCTTTATTGTTTGGAGATAATCGTCAGGATAGCTTTTGAACAATGTGCTCTCGAACTGCTTCGCAGAACTCTCTTACTGAAGGATATATCGGGCTACAGCTTTATTTTTATATGTCATGTAAAACGGTTCAGTTTATTTAGGATATTTACACAAAGTATTAGGTCCTATGTGAGAAACATATGGGCGATAGAGCTTTTGACACATAATTTAATCATGCTGCTAATTTACGATTATGATGTATTTTAGAATTGGAGATAAGGAATATGCCAAAAAAAGAAATAATTTAATTTAACGCGACGGGAAAATAATTTAAAATTCAACGATCACCGATTGCTTCGATTGTGTTTGCAAATTTTTTGGTTAAAACTGTCTCGATAATTTAATGGAATTTAGATGTTATCTCAAGTGAGCGCTATATTATTTTTCTTGAAATAAATCTTGTCTTCGATAATTGTCTCCCAATATATTATTTTCGTCACGCATGTCTTCATCAGACGTGTAGATACGAAATTTTTTATTTTATACTTATCACAAAACGAGTGTTCTAATAATTATACATGGAAAGAATGGTTTTGTTAAAATATCTAAAAATTTAGTTAGATCTGAAAATAATTTACAAATTGAAAAATAATTTCATTTGGATCATCCAAGTAATTATATAGAACGTTTAAATTGATAACAATGTTACGGAAAGTTTTAATATTCTAGTAACATGTTTGAATTGTTACAATTATTTTGATGGTCCAAATAAAATTATTTTTAAATCTGTATATACGTGATAACAATTTGCTAAAATATCTAAAAATTTAGCTATGTAGATTTGATTATAATTTTGTTGGACTATCAAAATAATTATGTAAGATCTCAAACTATTAGAATATCAAAACTTTTTGCATCATTAAGCTTGAGATTCCTACGTAATTATTTTCGTTGAACAAAATTATTTTCAGATCTGTATGTAGCTTAAAATTTTTAAAAACCTTAGCAAAACCGTTTTTCTTCTGTATAGCATCGTAATTATCTCTTTGAAGACTAATTCCTTTTTAAGGATAAACGTTCTTCAAAGAAATAAAAGAATAAATTCAGTGAGATTAATTGCGGTGAGATTAATCGCGTATTCCAGAAACAGCGACATAGAATTGATTTCTATATCTTCTGTTCGCCACCCAACTTCTGCATCTCGTTTTAAAAGATAAAATACGAACGTAACCTGATCATTTTTTTTTTTTTACACACTCCACTATTCGCTTTTGCACGAAAGCGTACTCACGTCCAAACGAGCACGCGTGCGCGCTATCACGTGGAGCGTGATTCACGCTGTCGTTTCTTCGAAAGTACCGAGGCACAATCGTAGGCAATGTGTCTCACTTACGGTGGCGGATGTACCACGTTAAGCAGCTCCGACGGCGAAGTGGGAACTCTACGTATCGTGAGCTTCCGGCCGTCAGAAGAGCCCAGGCCGATCGACGCCAGAGATCTGATCGAGATCGTGTCGGGGAATGAGCGAGCCTGACTTCCGTTGTTCTCCGTATACAGAGAGGTCCAGGTAGGTGATAATTGATGGCAGCAGGGACAGTGCTGATGGTTCTCATCCATGCTGAAGATTCTCGGCGAATGCACATTGGCACAATAATGATATTGCCGTGGATCGATGCTTCTGGCGCTCGATCTGCCAGGACTATGCAATCCGTTGTCGCGATCCGAACTCGACCCGGAGTCAGCTTGATCAAGCACCAGCCGTGGCTGCGGCCGCCGCCGATGGCCTTTATCTCGAGGAATACTTTCGGGACTGTCGTCGTGGCTGGCCACTCTTTTGACATTGTTACCACTAGTACTCGGCACAACAAGGATCTCATGTTTGGCGGTGTTCAGCAAATGATCTTTCTCCTCTTCTGAGGACCACTCGGTTTCGATCTCAGAATGTTTTTGATGTTGACAGCGGATTCTGATCACGTCTGGATCCGCATCGTCGGACACGTCGTCCTCTTCTTCAAGCATCGTGCTCATTTTACGCACGCAGCCGGCCTGTTTGCCGAGGAATTTGCCGTGGGTAGCATCCCCGTGCTTCAGTAGGACAGACTTGCTCTCGTTACGCGGTTCGTCACTGGTGCTGCCATTGATGCTGCTATCGTTGTTAC